TAATATTATAAATAATCACAATTAAATTGAACATAAAACTTTAACAATTCGGTTTAACTCGAAAAAAAGTTCAAATAAAGTTCAAATAATAAAATAAAACTCGTTAATTTGACTAACTCAAATTTTATGACTCGACTTGATCAATTTCTCCCTCTACCCTTGAGCATTTTTGCTTGTATATCAAATATAAGTCTCCAAATGTTATATGGTGCTGTAAAGCCTGTTGTTTGTGTCCATGGGAACTGATTATCTTGCCATGTTTTATTATCCATGGGAACTCATTTTTTATGTCGATTTTTTTATTGAAGTTAATAGTTTTGGGGTAACTCAGTAAGGTAATTAAATTTTGGGACGAACGTAAAAATTTATGTCGAGATGCTAATTTAAGGAATTGTATTAAAAATTTTAGAAAATACGAAATTAAATAATCAATAAAATATTGAAAGAATTTCAGTGGTTCGACCCTGGCTCCGTCCCCGATTAAAACGCGTTATTGCTTACAAGACAAATGGTTCATTAATCCTTTTGATTATTATGATATTAATTAATTAACCTTAAAAAATATTTTGAAAGTACAAGTTAGAAAACATCATTAATTTTTAATTAGCTACCTACTCAATCACCTAATCAGATTTTGACCGCTTATTATATTGCTTAAATTATAAAATTACGAAATTTTTAAATATTCACATATTTATTACATTATTTTGAGTTATGATCAACTTGATAGGATGTGTAAATTTTACGAACTAAAACTATTATCACATCATACCACTTCACAGTTTCTGTTAAGTCAACGATCAAATCTAGTTACGGTGACCTAAACAAAAATAAAACATAACTTTTACGATTAAAAATAATAATCGAATGACCAAAATAGAAACACGGAAAAAGGTGAGTGACCAAATAAGTGTCTATCCTATGTAATTTTATTGGTCAAACTTTTATATTCTTCTCCCTTGGCATGGGGCTAATGTATAATGTATTCTTCCTTTGAAAGTGTCACGTATGTTATTCTAATATACAAAGCTACATCCCACCAAATTATGAAGATTTCTTCGAGAGTGGAAACAATAAAATAATAATGCATGTACCTCGAAGGTCATCAATATATATACAAGAAATTTTCAAACATGATTATTATTTAGTATATTAGTATAAGTAAAATAAATAAAATATATATTATTTATTTATTTATTTATTTATTTTATTAAATATTAATTAAAAATAAGTTATAGTTTCGGACTCATTGAACGATTTAATGACAAAATGAAGTACGGTTCTTTATGAAGCTCCCGAGTTTGAGCAGATATGTCAGCATAGTACATGCATGTTAATTATCAATCCATTAAGAAATAATTATTTATATATATTTAAATAAAATAATTTTTAAAGGTTTCTTGTGGAATTAGCTGAGGAGAAAAAGAACCATTCATGTTCGGTTTTGTTTCTTCATTATGACATTATCCCAATGTATTATATGCTAATGTCAACCAAAACATAAAAGAGTATTCAAATGAGACATTTGCCATTACAATTTTCTCCCGATTATTTATACTTGCTTCTAGGGTTGGCTACGGGACTCAAATTCGACGGCTTCCGATTGTACTCGATTTTTTTTAAAAAAAAAAGTTTACGGTTTGGGCAGGGTCAAATTTTTTAGATATTATGTTTAAGTCGGGTTGGGTTTATGTTTAAGGTAAAAAATAACGAACACGACCCGATCCAAAAATATAATATCCATATATATATATATATATATATATATATATAATTGCAATAATATCCATATATATCTTTCAATTAAATCTATATTTTTATTAAATAAAGTAATATTTTTAATAAATATATTATTTTAGGTTAGGCTGAGTCAGGTTCGGATTTTATCTCAAAAAGACGGGTTAGGTGGAATGTGTATATTTTTCGGGTTGAATTCGGTTCGGTTGGAATATGTATAATTTTCGGGTCGGGTCCGATGGACCGAAAAGCCGACCCAATCCGACTCATACCCATCCTATTTGCTTATGTTATAAAATAAATTATTTTTTGATATATTCATAAATATAATATTATAAGAAAATTGAGTATTTATTGTCGTGTTATTATAAATTACAAAGCAACATTAAATAAAAATGTACCTACTCGGATTTTTTTTAATTTTTTTAAAATAAAAGCAATTAATTTTATTAATAAATAAGAAAAAAATCAAATACAATAAAATTTACAATAAAAATCATAAATTAGATAAATAATTAAAAAATTATTCTATAATCATTAGAAACTAGCCATTCAAGATCATAGCATGATCATACAAGGAAAATATGAAAATCTCATCCAAAAAAACTCGAACAACGGGTAGATACGAACACACCTGACTACTACGGCAAACCAAACACAATGGATGATTTAAACTACTGAAAGATCACCGAAAAAACACAAATCGCTGGAACAGTTAAAATTGTCGGAATTTTTTTATTTAAATATTCTTTATGAAATATGTCATCATGACAGGGTAAATATAAATACTCTTTTCAAAAGTGACATGTTTATAAAATTCAGTTTAAAAGTTGAAGTGCTAGCGGAAGATGGCGGTAGGCGGCAAGAAATGGTGGTGGGAGTCCGAGTTTAAAGCAATTTGTATTAAATTGGTAAAATATTAAAATTATATAAGCAAGTTTTTACAATTAGAGTTAAATTAAAAATAATTGTAAAATTTGAGGGCTAAATATCTTATTATATTAATTTTATTAACTTTAATGTCATCTCCCGTTACAAATAACTAATGGCTATGCATTAATTTATTAATTTGTTAAAGTTGGAGGATCATTTTAAACTTTTCATAGTTAAGGGTCTCAATATAAAAACACCGTACAATCGGAAGATTATTTATATGTTTTACCCTTCATGTTTTAATTTCTTAAAAGTAGGAGTATATTTAGGCAAAAAGGAATTAGTTTAGGAGCTTAATTAACATTTTCAGAAGATTTTGATAATTTTTGAATTATTTATTGATGTGATATATAAAATAAAATGATTATGTCAACTAGGACTGTAAACGAGCCGAGTCGAGTTTAAGTATTGTTGAGCTCGAATCGACTCGAAAACTCGTAAGCTTAAAATTTTTAAGCTCGACTCAAACTCGAAAACATGAACTGAAGCTCGTAAAAGCTCGAAATAATTTTTTTTTAACTTAACTCGATTGAAAACCTTAAACTCGAACTCGAACCTAAACCCTAAAAAATAAGGTTTTGCATTTAAAAAAATCAACACATTTAAATTATATATTTGACTTGGCACATAAAAAGACTACAAATAATAAAACATATTTCACACACAACTTAATTTTTTTATCATACGTACACATATCTTGAGATAATTACTTAGACGACCATTTCCTCTCCTCATCCTCACAAATAATTAGTATATTTGTGATCTGAATTTTATTTGGCCGAGTTTGAAAAATTTTACGGTCAATTACAAGTTTAGTATTTAAATTATTATTTTTATTCTGTTTTGGTACTTCAACTTTATTTTTTTCAAAATTATATCTAACATTTAATTTATGTTTCAATTTGGTACACTTCTGTTAAAAAGTTAACATGACTACTGTCATGACATTTTTATATTCTTTTAATGATGACATGGGGTTACCTTACACGTCAACATCGCCGTTAAGATTTTAACGGTAATATACTAAAATAAAATCTAAACTACACGTTAAGTATATTATCCTTAATTATATTTTTCAATTATAATCAGTCCATTCAATTTCTCTTTTTTTAGTGTTTCATCCTTCTTGGGATTAGGTGCACCCACCAAAGAATTTTGGACTAATATTTTATCCTTCATTCACATGGAAGCCAACAACCAATTGCTCTCTTTGTATTTATACATGTATGATAATTAAAAAAATATAGATGAATTCGATTATTATCAAATTAGTCCGACCTTTTGGGTTTATCTTCTACAACGTATATGCATATATATATATATATATATATATATATATATATATATATATATATATATATATATATATATATATATACATGAACACATAGGAAGTTGTTAGTATACGTTAGTCAAACGATTTGGGGTCATTTGAGATGCACAAACCAATCAATATTTACTAGACGCAGAATATTATTATATTACTCTAAACAATAAGTCAACCCTCGCAAAAGTAAGTATGTTTATATTGATTTTTAGGGTAAATTAAATGAGGTATCATCAAATATTTTTCTATTGAATTTTGTATGGAATTGTACCACTCGGTCGTTAAGCAGTAGATCAAGAGTTGACATGTTCCGTTAATGTGATGATGTTACCAAAACGATATTTTTTTGGTGTAGATATATTGATATTCAAATCGACATCATTTTTGGGACTATATAAATCTTTTAATTTATGTATTGATTTTTTTTTACTAAACTTTAAAACGTTTCAATTTTAAGCACTGGACTTTTCAACCGCCATTGGAGGTCACTCGTCCCTCATCATAAGTCACTATTCGTAGCATGACCGACAACAAAACGTTCATATTTCGCTCATCTTTCTTCTCATTGGATTGTTTTCTCACGAAATACACTCAAAATTGACAAAAAAATAATCAAAAGATCTGACATATTAATTCTCCGATCTCATCCGATAGCTTCTGATGAGATTAGTTTTATGTTGTTTGTATTCTTGAAATAATGATTCTCATCGTTCGAAATTTAGAATTAACACCCTAAATCTCCATTAAAAAACCCAAAGGATAAGAGGAGGAAGTATTAATTTTAAATAGATTAAATTAATAGTAAAAAAAATTTTGGTATATCCTTGGAAAAACAAGTTGGCATCTGCAAGTGTTCATACACTAATTAAATAAACTCCGGCAGGTAAATTAATAAACTAATCCTCATCTCTTCCATTTGAAAATGAATTTTCCATCGTCTTCGATCATCTTCCTCTATAAAACAAACTTTTAACACAATTCAAATCCAATCAATCTTGTCCAAATTTAGTCTATTTTATACTTTGATCATCATCTTCCATAGCCAGGAAAATGGCAGTGCGGAGAGCATTATTAGTGTTTTTTGCAGCCACCGCAATTGTTTTCCAGTTAGCCATGGCAGTGGATCACACGGTCGGAGCTCCGAACGGAGGCTGGGACACAAGCACTGATCTCGCAGCTTGGGCCAGATCCCAGAGTTTTACCGTAGGCGATAATCTGGGTAAGTTTATAAACTATACGAGAATTTAAAATTTTTAAATGACGATGATATGTGTTTTGAATCGAACATACGTGTTCTTATAACTTGCAGTCTTCCGGTACACCTCGAACCACGATGTGGTCGAGGTGACGCAGGCGAACTACGACTCGTGCTCGATTAGTAACTCGGTCGAGACTCACACCGGTGGCAACACGGTCATAGCTTTGTCTTCACCGGGGAGGCGTTACTTCATATGTGGAACACCCGGACATTGTAGCCAAGGAATGAAGGTTGAAATCGATACCTTGGCATCTGCGGGAACACCCCCGGGATCGGCTCCCGGCACTCCGTCGTCCCCCGAAGTTCCTTCGGCTGAATCGCCCGGAAGCACTCCGCCGCCACCGCCTCCGGCATCTTCTAACGGTGTCGGTTTGAAGGCATGCCTCGCAGGGGGAATTGGCCTCATGTTGATGATGCCTTTGGCCATCTAGGGCCTATAAGCCTTGTGGGAATCTTCAAATAATCAGATCTTTGTGATTCATTTTCGCCTCCTCTCTATCATGTATTACTTCGTGTTTGTATTATTTTTTATTTACGTTAGATATAATAATTTCTATGTAATTTAAAATTTAATCCACATCTAAAATACATTATTAAAAAATAAATATTAACGATTGATTTGTTATAAAAAAAATTATCTATTAATTTATCATTAAAATAAGTTCCTTTCTCCCTCAATCAAAAGTCACCGCTAGATAACAAATTTGGGATGGTCGTTTAATTGATATATTATGTTATAGTATTTTCATAAATACTCATTTAATTTGGGAAGATTGTTTTACCTAGATATAATGGGTTTCGATTCGATCTAATTTTATAAAATTAAATTAAAAAAGATTGGATTGGGGGTCGACTTTATGTTTACGATAAAAAAAATTCAACTTGACCCATGATAATAGTTTAATTTTTCTATATTTATTTAGGGATAATTGCTATAAATATAAATATCTTTCTATTTTTTAAGTTCTCTATTTTATGCAATAAAAATGATAATTAGTTTTATATTTTTATCGGATCGATTCAGTGTGAGTTTTTACTTTAAAATTTGGATCGAATGAAATCTCCATAAATTGAACCAGATCAAATTTCAGATAAAAGATGTATATTTCTAGAGTTAGTCGAAAAACCCAACTTGATCTATAATCATCTCTAATTTAAATAACAAATGTTTTATTAAAAATAATAATATTAAATATTTATAACTAACGAGATAGTATAGTTGACAATTTATAAGCATATTTAACTTTAAATACAATATAAAAACTTATATTTCTCTCTCATTAGTGTGCCGCTCATATATTTTCTTTTTCGTTTTTATTTATCGGCGGTTGACAACTAACATTCACGTTTTTATCTACGTATATGACACGTTTTCCTATATTTTTGACATGTTTTTTGGTTCTTTGGCCGTTTTTCATTTTCTTTTCTGAGGGCTGATTTAACATCGCTACAACTGATCAAGATGACGCTTATTTGATATCTTGTTATTTTCCCTGCCTTGGACCCTCTTAGTGGATTTGGATACCCGATTTGCATTCGTGGATAACTTTTCACGTCGCTCGAGTTTGATTTGCGGTTTTTCGGTGGTGTCTTTCAATAGCTTGATCCTCTTTTATGGTTCATTTATCGATGCGATCAGATATGTTTGTATATATTTTTGTTCGAGTTTCTTGATTAGATTTAATCTTTCCTTGTATGGTCCTTGTGTGGTCCTTGATAATGAAGTATATATTCTAGAATATAATTTATTATAAAGTAATATAAGATAATATACATCACCACCACATGGATAACAAAGGACGCAGGACCAGCCCTTATAGCTCAGTGGTAGAGCGTCAGTCTCGTAAACTGAAGGCCTGTAGTTCAATCCCTGCATGGGGGCACTTAGAAAGGTCCTTTACAATTGTGGCATTTGAAAGTATTAATATTTTTCTGTACCAAAATGCAAAACTTACGAGATTGTTCTTTTAGTCGATAGAAATAGGGTCAACAATCAATGATTGAACTCGATTCTTAGACAGGTTATCTGGACATCCATGAGCATCTCCATGCTGGTATGTGCATTGGGAAATCCGAGCCAGATTAATACCTGTTTCCAACATTTGTTTTTCAAATGGAGAACCATCAACTCGACATCTATTCATTTTCATCCAATAATTGTCGATCAGGTCACTTATGTGTCGTCGAGCCACTGCCTCCGAGCAACCAGTTTCCTTCATATAGCATGTTATCGAGTTCGCACTTTCACCTCTCTCCAACTCATCCTTTGACGTGCCTAAGTCATTGCAGAGTCGAAAAATAGTGGATGGCCAACGGAGGACATCATCGTATTGTTCCAAGCCGTCGAGTGCCTCACCGGTGATGCTTGAAGTTTGTAAGAAGTAGGCGTGTACTAGAAATACATGTCCAGACACAGACATCCATGCATTGTCAAGATAGTGTTCGAATGTTGGAACATGTTCACTGTGTTTCCACTTTGCTTCTTTCAGGAATGCTTTGCACAGATCACTCCACGCTTTTGTTAAGTATGGGGTGATGTTTTGTCCGTGATCTCTAAGAGTTTCATAAGCCATTTCATTGACAGAGTTAGACAGGGCAAAAAAGCATAGCTCCATACACTTGGGAAGATTTTTCGCAGCACGTACATCCCACCTTCGAACAGCATCGGTGAATAACTCGAGTTCATCTAATGTGCCGTAAACGTCGTAAACATCATCGATTATAGTTACCATGGAAGCCACTTTGGTTAGACATTTTCGACAATTCCCGAATTCGGGTTCCGAAACCACTCCGATCGACCAAAAGAAACATTCCATGAGCCTATCCCTTGCGAAATTCAACTTGCTCGCTAGCCCCCGACTTGTCCACCATCTAATCAAGCGTTCATGAAAGCAATGTTGTCAAAGCTGTAACTGATAAACAAAGTAACTTATTTTTCCTTACCAATCGTTTTACCTTGCCATCTCCTTTAGATCTTCTTGATGTGTTGATTGCACCATGTTGAAATCCAACTTGGCCAATTCGAGTTGGGTTGGATTTACCGTCGCCCTTCTGCTGTAAGCTTCGATGTACCACCGAGCTTCTAGCCTGAGCATTCTTTGATGCAACGGGAGCTCCAACGCGTGGCTCACCTCTTCTAATGAGCCTTGTTCGGAACTACTGACGCCATGTAAATCCATGAGATGCATTCGTGAAAACACGAGGGCTTCATCCAAAAGATCTTCTCCTTCAAAGGCAAGATGTGAAGCTTCATACAAACTCAACATTCCTTTGACATCCTTACCAAGGCATTCCTTGAAGTTTCCCTTATTGTCCTTGAAAGCTTCAAATACATCTGCATTAGGACAATTTATCAACATCAATGCAACTTCGAAAGAAAAATACATTTTCAAAGGATTCAACGCTTACCTTGAGAGACATGGTAGCCATGTTGCCTGAGGAGCCTAAATCTCAGAGCTGCTGCATGCAAGCTATACTCCGTAGCGACACCGCCGTCGTCCGAAGACACAAATTTCCAAAGGGCTCTATCGATATCCATCTCGAAACGATGCCCCAACCCCAGCCGTTGGATGTCATCAATAAGTTCAAGCAAGTTCAGTGGCTCTGCATCTTCATCATTAATAGCAAACCTCAGTTCCTGCTCTAACTTGGCTGCTCTCTCTTTGTATATGACATCCTGCGAATTCAGCACCAAATAATCAAGCAAACAAGGAAAGAAAGGGACATAGACAGTGTGATGAGGTTAATTACGCACGGCATGATCATTGTTCAAGGACTGAAGGAAATCGTAGTTCCAGATGGTCGGCTGGTAATTTGCCGAACGCCTTCCGTCATTCGGCTGATCGGAACCGGAAACCTTTGCAGTCGACGACATAGCATGGCAGATATGATTGTCTGATACAACTTGTCGACGACGAATTGTGGTAGGGATCGTTATTTTCTTAGGGTTGAAACTGGACAGGCAGAGGTTGAGGCTGGTGGGTACTATTGCCATGATTCCCTTTAACATATTTATTACATACCACCTTCCGTTTTTGTTTCGATAAGTTTACCAGTTAAACCTTAGTACTAAAATAATAGTTGTATGGATCAAGCAGAAACGAGTAGGTGACAAGTTTCTAACTCAGTGGAAACGACATGAAACATCAATAAAATCATTCACATAAATATTGACTGTTATTCTACTTTCTAGGTCCATATTTTTCAAGACCACGAAGAGTTTTATAGATCTTGGAGAAACACATCAAGCACTAACTGCTGATTTATTAGATGAGCAAGCCAAGTAAAATCCATGGTTTTCAGAATCGGATTGATTAGCGAATCGGTCATGCTATCGATTCATTGGTTCAATTGATCGAATCGGTCCGATCGGTCGGAAGAACCGAACGACATCATAATTATTTAAAAAATTAAATAAAAATATCAAAAATATTTAATAAAAAATAATTTTTTATACCACAAGTCATATTCAAAACAAGTCATAACATATATAAGTTAAAAACCATAAAATCAAGTGAAATAAAATTATTCAAATTAACTACAACATAATATTTAAGGTAAAACATATTAAATAATAAATATAATTATATAACTATAATTAAAAAATAAATTTGACGCTAAAAAATCATAACAAAATGATATTGTTTGGTTTAATTTTTTTTAAACAATTTCACATGGCTAAGAAACATAGAAAAACATCCAAAAAGTCTAAAGAGTAAAAATATGAGAACAAAACAATCCAACATGGCTAAGAAACATAGAAGAGCATCCCAACTAACTTCTATAAATAATAGAGGTAAATTGACATTCAAAATCATGGAGCCTTTTGGTAAGCATTGAGTGAACTATTCTTTCACTTCAATTAAGCTCGAATTTTAGGCTTCAATTGAGCTTCTAATTTTTTTTAGTTCAAGCCTTTTTGAGTTCAAGTTTCAATATAATTTTCAAGTTTGAGTTGAACTTGATAATTTTTAGCTCGTGAGTTTGAGTTGAGTTGAGCTTACTTTTAAAGTTTTCAAGTTCGAGTCGTGCTCAGTAATATTCGAGTTCGACTTGGCTCGTTTAACAAACGACATCGTTTGATTTAATTTTTTTTTAAAACAAAAAACAAAATTGGTGGTTTTTTTGGTTTTTAGCCGGTCCGATTCGAATGGTTCAACGGTTCCGGCCGGTTCACTAATAGTGGTTCAACCGGTGTAAATTGAATCGAATTAGACAATGATTCTCGATTGAACCGACCGATCCAATCCGATTTTTAAAACAATGGTAAAATCAGTGTACTTGGAGATAATGAAACCATATATTTTGATGTTCCGATTGCGTGTATGAATTTGCCTATATGTTTAATGTACTCCACAAACATTTCGCAACGACTGCCACCCTCAAAAGTAGTTACGGTTCGAAAGTACATAAATTTTTATGTTAAAATAAAATTTTAAAATTTTAGAGGTTAATTTATAAACTTATAAGAGGCTAAAATAAATAATAA